TATTTATATTTTCGCCTATTCTATTGTGGCTTCCTGCTGTTCCAGAATTCTCCTCTTCATGTAGAGGAGGCTCGCTGATGATTACCTTTCCTAGCACTGGTTCATCTACGAGCACCTCATCCTAAAAGTGCTTTGAGTCTACATAGACACTGAGTTATTTCCCATCTCTCAGGGTCCAAACAGCTCTTCCTACCTTCTAGTCTGGTGGCAACCTTCCTACCACTGTGACCTTTTAATACAGTTCCTCACATTGTGGTGACCCCCTAACCATAAAATTACTTTGTTGCTACTTCGTAACTGTATTTTGCTACTGTTATGAATCATAATGGAAGTGTCTGATCTGACATGTTGGATATCTGATAAGAGACCCCTAAAGGGGTGGCAACCCACATGTTGAGAACCATTGTGCTAGTCTTTTTCATCACTTGTTATATTAAGGTGTCATTTCTCCTATTCAAGGTTTTTTTATGTTTAGTTATGATGGTTTCAAAGAGAAATGTCACCATAGGTTCACATATTTGGACACTTGGTCCCCAACTGGTGGCTCTGTTTTAGGAAGTTACAGAAGTTTTAGGATGTGGGGTCTTGCTGGACAAAGTCACAGGGCGCTGGGGAGCTTTGAGAGTTCATCGCCTAGCATTTCGTCTAGTTTAATTCTGTGCTTGCTAGGTGACACTCTATATGATCAGCCAGCTCTCTGCTTTGGCTACCTGCTCTGGTGCCTTCCTGGCCCTTGCAGATTCTCCCTCTGCAACTGTAAACAGAAAAAACTCTCCCCTAAGTTGCTTTTGATCGTGACTCTTTCTTTACTGCAGCAACAGAGAAGTAACGCGAAGATGATGTGCGTTTTCTTTGTGTGCATTCAGTTTGAGCTCAGCTGCTTTCTGCAATCCTGCTAAATGTGGGAAATTTTGAGACACCGACTCTTACATTTTCCCTCTTGCCCACTCACTGTCTTTTCCTAAAACTTTGATCACTGATGTCAGATGTTTGTAATTGGCCCCAAAGCTCCTGAAAGTCTGTTCCTTTGCTTCTCTCCCAAGTTCTGTGTGTCGTATGGGTCAGGTAGTCTGTTTCCCACCTCCACATGCAGCCCCTGCCTTCTCTGGCTCTCACTCTGATAATGACAGTGAGTGCTGCTGAACCCATCCACTAGGCTTTTTTATTTTTATTTTTTTAAAGTTCAAGGTTTTCTTTTTATCTTTTCTACCACTTTGCTGAAACTTTCCGTTACCTTTATTTGTTACAAGTATGTTTATAATTGACTAGTGAAGGATTTTGTAATGGCTGTATGTATGGATATATGTAATCATTCATTCATTCATGCAATAAAATCTCTAAATGTTGCTCAGGCTGGCCCTAGATTCTCCATCCTCCTGCCTCAGTCTTCCTAGTGCTGAGACTTCAGGCTAGCTACCATGCCTAACTATAATGGGTATTTGTAAAATCTTGAAGAGACAATGCTAACGTCTCTGCCATCTTGGTATTGGTATCTGCTGATTGCTTTCTCTCACTCAACATGAGATCTTTCTGGCTCTTGCTACAAAAAATGTGTCTGTCTGTCTGTCTGTCTACCTATCAATCAATCATTATCTATTTGTGGTACAGGGAATTAAACCCAGGGCCTAACATATGCTAGGCAAATGCCCTAATACTAAGCTATAACCCTTTTTATTTTTAAAGAGGGTATTGATATGTTGCTAAGGAAGGCCTTTAAATCCTGTTGCCCAGTTCACTGAATGGGTGAATTTCAGACTTGTACCAACAGGTCCAGCTAAGAAGTGACTTTTTTTTTTTTATTAACTTGGATATTCATTGCATTGTATTACAAAACTATGGATTTCACTTAAACCTACTTTAGCTGGCTTGACACTGCTCCAGAGAGTTATAGGTAGGCATTGCCTCACTTTCAGGGACACTAGATGGGGAAGGACATCCTTGTCCCCCTATCTGGGGAGATCCATTCCAGCTATTTAGGAGACCTTGCTTGATACCAGCCCAGCTGAAAGGGACAGAAGCATCTCATTACTGCTCCAAACCAGGAGCTTCACCTGTAGGCTCTACCACAGGCCCGAGATGGAAATCTGGACAACACCCTAGAAGGGAAACGGTACTTTGCTTCTACAGGTAGGGAGGAGGTCCACACCCTCCCTCTCCTCCCAGTATTTGGGTGGAAAACAGGCAGGCAGCATTGTTTTTGCCTCTCTACAATCAACATTCCATCTCTGCCACAAGTCTTTCAGAGAGTACCCTGGAAGCAGGTTTAGGCTCCCATCGGACTATTAAGGGGCAATATCTAGGTTCCCTCTTTTAGTGGCTCTTGGGGGCAAGGGTAGGACCCTGGTACGTTCTGTGTTGCTGACTGGGGTACAGGAACTGTTCACCAAAAGCTGTCTGAATTGTAGGATTCCCCCTCCTTTCCCAATTATTCAGGTAGAGAAAGCAGGCTTTCATTAGGACCATCTGTTTCTCTATCTGCTAGTGTTTCTGAGTTGCCAGTTTCTTTTGCTCAAAGCCTAAGATAAATGAGTTAAAAAGAAAACTCCAGGAATGACCTGCCCATGGCTCCTTGGAAGACCTGTTTGAGAAAGTCTGCTCCTTCGGCTCCTTTCAGAGTCCTCTTATTTCATTTTGTACACACGTACAAGGGTCCTAAGTCTATGCTTTGTCTTGAATGTTCTTGTTAACTTGTAAGATTTTAGGTTTTCCAAAAACTGTAAAACCAGTCTAGTATTTTAGATTTTTTTCAAATCCATAAAACACACAAGCATTAGATTTAATTCTGCTTCAACTTGTGATTCAATACAAGACATTCTAAGTTCTTTTCAGAAGGAAAACACCATTGAAAGTTTAGTTCTGTATGTGTACATGTGTAAAATTAAGGCTAACATATAAATGGCATGTATGTATGTATGAATGTTTATACACAGGTTTGTTTTTTTTTTTTTTTGTAAGTGCTGGTGATCAAATCTACTATTCACATACAAAAGGCAGGAGCTCTACCACCAAAGAACATCTCCAGTCTCAAATGGACTATACAGTTAATACAGTTAATACTAATATCTGGAAAGTCAATGCCATACTTATCAAAACCATATGTTTTGATATTAGGGTAATGAAACTGGTCTCCTAAAAGATATGTTAACTTGCAAAGAGTATGTACTTAAGCTAGCCAAAGTTTTTTTTTTTGGGGGGGGGGGCTAGCATCTCACTTACTTTCTTTTCTAAAATTTATCAGTTCAGTCCTTGGCAAAATTACAGGTTGTTTCTTTTCCAAGAATGTGCATTTCATACATTATTTGATATTGGGAATGCCTCTATTACACTTTCTTCTTGCTAATGGACAAAATTTCAAAGGCAATACGTTATAAATCCTAACTATGGAAGTCTGAACTTGAAGGTGATACAATTTCTTTTAGCAATGTTGAAATTCATCTGCCATAACTGTGAGCGATGAATGCTTCTCTGTGAAGAAAAGCAGTGATGGCTAACTACATCAACCCAAGCACTCTACACACTGCTCCCGCCAACCCGCCAGCCAGGGTAGGTTCGAGACCTTCTATCCTTTTACAGATACGGAAGAGGTTCAAAGAGGAGCAAGGCTCTCAGCTCACACAGCTGGGAAGTGGAGAGAACAAAGCGCTGACCACTGTGCTGCTCCCATTTCTGTGTGTAATAAGCATCTGCCCTTAACAAGAAGCCCGCAAGAGCCATGGGTGTCTCCATCCTCTGGCTGCACAACAGCAGAGCTTCCTCTCATGCCTCACAAACTTCTTTCCAGGTGGGTTTTCAAAGCAGCTTTCTTCCTCGTGCCCTTTGTGTAGGAGAATTGTACTTTTAATTTTTATTTCCCTTTTCTGGTAATAAAATATATGGCATATATGAACCTTAAAACCCAGAGAAATGTGGACTATGATTAGGAAACAAGCCCCTCACTTAGATGCATGCATGCATTTTAGAAAGTTGAGGTGCTTATATATTCTTCTGCAATGCCTTCCCTTGCTGGTTCACATAATAGTAGACCTTTATGTGAGAATAATACATTTATCTATAGTTCTGTTTGTGTATAATTAGAGCATTGTACTATTGCTTTAACAGAATAATTGCCCCTCCCCACCCCCACCCCCCACCACTGTCTGTCTATGACCTATAAAAAGCGGTGCATGTCACCACCAGCAGATTCAAAACACTACGTTTAAACATGCACTACCATTGTTAGGGAAGCCAGAAGACTTTCGGATTTTCAATTATAGGAACTATATTAGTTTTCTTTTCTCTATTTCTGCTAGTGTTACTTGTTTAAAACTTTAATTACATACAATTTTAGCCTTTCACATCTACATGTTTTCAAATCCCTATTTACCTGTCTTGTGCAATAAAATTAGCCTATGTCGGTCCACGCACCGAAACATTCAAGGTAAAGCTATGAAATTTCTTCAAGAACTATAACAGAAAATCTTTAACCTTGAGTTAGTCAATGATTTCTCATTACCACAGTAAAGGCACACTCCATAAAGAGAAAAAAAAAAATAAACCAGATCAGTCAAATCCAAAGCTCCTTGACTTTGAAAAGCTATGAAGAGTCACACTTAAGAAAAATCACAACCACACTTGAAAAAAAAAATCAATAAAATTATGTCCATAATATATAAAGAAGCCTCAAAACTCAGTAGTAAGAAAACTGAAACCAGTTAAGAAAAATATGTCAAGTATTTACCATTTTAATGGGAAAATAAAATGGTTATTTATTATAATTTTATATCAAGATTCAGTTCGCCTAACCCCTTCAAGAAATTATAGACCTTCCGCTCCCTAAACCCTTTCACACGAATAATTAAGAATGATACGGATGAAAACGTTTTACGTGAAGCTTGTGTGATCAGAATACCACTGCTACGTATGTGATCAGTTCCCTCAGGCCTAGCTGATTTCCAGAGCAAGGGGACAGGAGGCAGAGAGCCAGAAGGGTATTTTCAGGTAGAGAAAATAGTATACTTTACTCTATAAAATAGACTTCTCCATTTTCGGTATAGGCCATCTCCCAGTTTTCAGGTAGAGGACCTAAGTTATCCTCTGCAGAAAGAGGTAGGTACTGAGGGAACTTCTGAGAAGGGTCCGTGATGGGAGCGGCGAGGATGCTACTATTCACAGGCGGGAGCGTTGCTTCTTGGAGAGTGTGCTCGTCCTGGTCTCCAGAATCGGCTGATCCATCAGGCACAAAGGAGAGAGAAAAAAAAACAAGCACAAAGCTGTTCAACAACACGCTGGGAAATGCAAGACGAATACATCTACGTTCTTTCCCCACACGCATTTGTGATCCTAGATTTTATTAACAAATATTAATTATGATAATAATGGCTTTCCTTAGGTCATTTTCATACTTGTATATAATGTGTTCGGATCATATGAACCCATTCACCTCCTCTCTCATTAATTCCTTTTGTCTCCACACCTAGCCCTCCTTCTCCTTTACTCCCCAACGTTCTAGTGACCCAGGAGTTTTCCATCAGCATGTTTACAAAAACTTGTGTGTCTTGCCAGTGATGATACCACTGAAGAAAATGCCTCTACCTGCTCTAATCAACCATTGTGTGTGTAAAGCATTGCAGAGTGTGCGGCCTCGAGAGCAGCTTCCTCTTTCACGCCAGGCCCAGGCTTACAGCTGCAGGGAATTCAAGGATGCCGCAGTGACGTCATGCCCAGAAGTTAGGGTTCCACACCACTCGTTTACAGCTCCTATAAATTCACTCATCCCTTCATCTGCAAGGTTCCCTGAGCCTTGGTGAGGGTGTTATAGATGTCTCATTGATAGGTAGGCTTTTAGCAATTATTTAATTTCTGTGCCGTGTATCCCTGGTGAACACAGTTGCAAAAATTCTCAATAAAATACTTGCAGACCAAATTCAAGAACCCATCAAAAAGATCGTTCATAGTGATCAAGTTGGCTTCTTTCCAGAGATGGTTCAGGGACGGTACAATCTGTAACTGTAAACTGTAGTATGCCACATAAAGACAAAAATCACTCGATCATTTCAAGAAAAGCAAAAACCGCCCAAATCCAGCTTCTACCTTCTTAAAAGAACTTATCTTTTCCTAGTTGCTGGTTATCCACTATGACTTCTGTTTCACTTGGGTAAACAGAAAGAATCAAAATGATTAGCAAGGCCAGGGATGTAGCTGTCGTAGAGCATCTGCTTGGCACATGCAGGGCCGGGAGGTCTAGCTCGAGTACAGGAAGGAAGCACCCAAACAAGACAAACCGCAGCAAAGTGTATTTGAAAAGAAACAAGACAACAATTATCTTGAAGATGTCAAAGAAGAAAGCAATGTATCAACGCAAACCCTAAGGATTCTATACCAAAATGTCCTCAGACTGATCTGAGATCTCATTCCACTGAATTCATTTGGTTTCATGATTCAGGAGGGGAAAAAAGATCAAACTGAACCCACAGACTCTGTGGCATTTTTGTAGGTTTTTGTAGAAGTTATTTAGTCTCTCAGAGTCACTCCTCTGTAGACGTTTCTGAGTTTTGATAGACACTGGCGAAGATCAAATAGTGACAAATTAAGCTGGAAAGATTACAAAAGTTTAGAATAAAGAGACAGCTATGGCAGTGAGTCAGAACTGAGACTCCTTTGGGAAGCTAAAGAGACTGTTCCTGTGAAAACTAAGACAGTTACCCCAGAACAGTATCGTGTGGGTGGACTGATTGGACTTGGATCCTAAGAGAAGGCTCTAAGTGAAGGTGTCTCCTTGCCTCCGTATTAACCAGAAACATCAAGGGTGATGTCATCAAAACACCCATAAACAGCACTGTTGACATCCCTGCTGACTTTTTATAGAGGAGGATGATATTAAACGTCAATCTCCATGAAGCTTCAAAACACACTAATCAAGATATAGTCATTTTCTGTCTTCCATCGTCACTCCCCTGTAGACGTTTCTGAGTAAAGCAAAATAAGGGATAAAACTGGGTCTCAAGCTGTCTGATGAACAGCTAGTGAGCTCAACACATGAGAAGGCTCCCCAGAAGGTGAATGGCAGCATGCCAAGCCTACAAGATGAGCAGCTCTACCACAACCTAGCACCACTGACTAGGCCATCTGGAGGACTTCCCTGGCCAACATCTCTCCCCTCTTATTTTGGTGCCATCATTAAGGCTCCCGTTTGGAGGCCATTCTGTGTCTGGGTGGTCCAGATAGGAAGAGACACAAACCAATGTGTGGTTCCAAGTCAGACTCTTGGATTTAGGAATATTCTATCGTGTTGGTTTTTTCCATTGGTTCAGGAACAGGTGCACGCTGCAAGGCTAAGCAATGAAGGGCTGGTGTCTTAGTCACATTTCTACTGATGTGATAAACAGTCCAAGACCAAAGGCGGCTTGGAGAGGAAGTGGTTTATTTCAGCTTACAGTTGTAATCTACCATGGAGAGTTCAGGCCAGGAACTCAATGCTGGAACCTAGAGACAGGAACTGAAGCAGAGGCCACAGAGGAAAGCTGCTTACTGCCTTGTCCCCTATGGCTTATCGAGCCTGCTTACTTATACCACCCAGGATCGCTTGCCCATGGGTGGCCATGCCTTCAGAGAGCTGGGCCCTCCCATATTAACCATTAACTGAGAAAACACACTACAGAACTGCCTACAAGCAAACCTTATAGAGGCATTTTCTCAACCAAATTCCTCTTCTTAAATGATTCTAGCTTGTGCCAAGTTGACATAAAACTAACCAGCACATAAGGTATAGAAATTTTAGTGGAGCAACTTGCAGCCTGTTGATGCTGGAATAATCAAGCAGACAGGTTTCTAACACTTGATGTGCTGCTGCTGGTCCTTCTAACATGGCTTAGCAAGATGTATGCAGAGAAAAGCGGAGACAAAAAGTGGAATACTGCCTAAGATTCCAATGGAGCCTTTGAGGTCATGTCTGAAACCAAAGCTGTTCCTAGGCTATTCAACTGCTTAATGCCTCACTTTCTTTCTCAAATCAGTACAAGTTAAGTTTTGTGACTTGCTTCTTCTTCTTTTGGAAAACACCAAATGGCAGATCATGCCAGTGTGGTGGGAAGCCTAGAGAACCGGAAGCCCAGGACTAGGAGGCCATGGCAGTTTCAGCCAAGGATTTGGCAGAGGTCTTGAGGCCATAGTAGTGGTCAAGGCCGTGGCTATAGTCAAGGCCGTGGTTGTGGTCAAGGATGCAGGGCTCATGGAGGTAAAACCAAAGACAAGGGGTGGATCCCTGTCATCAAGCTGGGCTGGCAGGTTAATGACATGAAGATCAAGTCCCTGGAGGAGATCTTCTGTTCTCCCTGCCCATTAAGGAATCCAGGATTATTGATCCACCCCCACCCCCAGGCTCATCCCTAAAGAATGAGGTTCTGAAGATCATGTCAGCGTAGAAGCAGACTTGGACTGGCCACAGGACCAGGTTCAAGGCTTTTGTCACTACTGGAACTACAATGGTCATGCTGGTCTTGGTGTTAAGTGCTTCAAGGAGGTAGCCACTGGCATCCGAGGGGCCATCATCTTGGCCAGGCTTTCCATCGTTTCTGTGTGGAGAGGTTGCTGGGGGAACAAGATTGGCAAGCCCCACACTGTTCCACGCAAGGTGACAGGGCACTGTGGCTCTGTGATGATGTGTCTCATCCCTGTCCACAGAGGCACTAGCATGGTCTCTGCTCCTTTGCCCAAGAAGCTGCTGTGCTGGCTGGTATTGATGACTGCTACACGTCAGCCAGGGGCTGCACTGCCACCCTAGGCAACTTCGGCAAGGCTACTTTTCATGCCATCTCCAAGACCAAAGTCTCCTTATCAGGAACTCCCTGGCCATCTTGTGAAAACCCATACCAGAGTCTTTGTTCAGAGAACCCAGGCTCCAGCTGTGGCCACCAAATAAGAGTTTTTATACAAGAAAAATAAAGTGAATTAAGTCTGTTAAAAAAAAAAAGCTTACTGTTGTAGAATATTAAAGATATGTTACATTTGTTTATGCTGTGGAATATTTGTTTAATGATGCATAGATGTATTGCATTCTTCTATGTTGCATTTGTTTAACTCTGTGAAGCTGTGTTACCTTGCCTATCTAAAACACCTGATTGGTCTAATAGAGAGCTGAACAGCCAATAGCTGGGCAGAGAAAGGATAGGTGGGGCTGGCAGACAGAGAGAATAAATAGAAAGAGAAATCAGGGAAGAAGCGATCTAGGAGTGAGATAAGGAGGAGGACTCCAGGGGCCAGCCACCTAGCTACACAGCTAGCCATGGAGTAAGAAGTAAAGAAAGGTACATAGGATAAAGATAAAAGCCCAGAGGCAAAGAAAAATAGGATAATTTAAGTTAAGAAAAGCTGGCTAGAAACAAGCCAAGCTAAGGCTGGGCATTCATAAGTAAGAATAAGACTCTGTGTGATTTATTGGGGAGCTGGGTAGTGGGCCCCCAAAGAGCCAAAGAGTAAAGAAAAAAAAACAAAACAAAAAACCAACAGTTTCCAACTTACATCTAAGAGTATAGATCAACAGAAATCTAGAAAAACAGAAAGGAAATCAAACAAAAACAGAAGGATCATCTTAAAATTATTAACAGATATCAATATGAACTGAGAAATTAGCAAGAATGTAGAATGACTCCACAAAAGTCAACACACACTCATTTCTGACATTTCTCTGGATGTTTCAAATCTCATGTGTCCTAGAAATCCCCCAGACCCACCACCAACTACTACTAGTTGCCTGGCTCCTTGGTACAAAACACAGGACGGAGGTAAAATTTTAAAGATGTGGTGGTATTGTGTTCCCCAATACATTGTGCACCCTAATAAGCTTATCTGGGATCAAAGAACAGAACAGCCCATAGATTTAGAGGCCAGAAATTTGTGGCACACACACCTTTAATCTTAGCATTCCAAAGGCAGAGAGATCCGTCTGGATCTCTGTGAGTTCAAGGCTACACTGGAAACAGACTCACGCCTTTAATCCCAGGAAGTGATGGTAGAAAGCAGAAAGGTATATAAGGCGTGAGGACCAGAAACTAGAAGCTTTTGGCTTGGTTAAGCTTTTAGACTTTGAGCAGCAGTTCAGCTGAGACCCATTTAGAGGCTTCCAGTATGAAGACCCACACAGAGGCTTCCAGTATGAAGAAACAGGATCAGCTGAGGAGTTGGCAAAGTGAGGTAGTTGTGGCTTGTTCTGCTTCTCTGATCTTTCAGCGTTCACCCCAATACCTGGCTCCAAATTTGTTTTTATTAATAAGACTCTTTAAGATCCATGCTACATAAAGGGACTTTTTTTTGGGGGGGGGGAGGGGAGTTGAACTAGGGTTTTTCTCTGTGTAGCCCTGGCTATCATGGAACTCACTCTATAGACCAGGCTGGCCTCGAACTCAGAGAGATCCATCTACCTCTGCCTCCCCAGAGTGAGATGGATTAAAGGCATGTGCCTCCACTACCTGGTTTAAAGAGACTCTTTTTAAAAGCACCACATTGAGGAAGAGTCAGTTCATATAAGAACCATGTTTTCATACAGTTCTCTAAAGAGTGGAAGGACATAAGATAAGGTAGCATGTGAGTTGTTTAAAGTCTTAATTTATGTGCATGTTTATTCCCAACTGGGATTTGAACTCAGCTTCTCAATCTTGAGCAGCAAACACTCTTACTCACTGATCTATTTCTCCAGCCCCTAATTGTTTTTTTTTTGTTATTATTATTATTTTTTTTTTAACATTTTTGGTTCCCTAAATAGCTGTGCACTTTGGCCAACAGTATAATTCTACTGTCATTAAGTACATATAAGAAGAATTTGCCTTCAGGGGCTCCTCTTAGCTCTATAATTTAGGGACCATTTGTAGAAGACTGTCCCACTACCTAGTTCAACCATCCGTCCTGTGGTTAGTGTCTGCTCATTGTGAGTGTCTACTATCATCACATAAAGAAGGCACAGGCTATGCCCTCAGGATGCATGTGGCCATTATTCCCCTGTTGTCCTGCTATCAACACTGAATGTCACACAGGCATGATTACAGGGTACAACTTCTTCAAATGATCCAAGCAAAGGACAGCAGCAATATCGGGTTATTTTTCAATGTCCTGGTGAGTATCATTTTTAATGGGCACATAGGACTTCTACATTTGGATAAGAGTGTCACCACTTTAGCAAAGCCAGTCTAAAACAGAGCTAAGACCTCATTATGCCACTGTTGTTCAAGAAGCTGTTAGCTCAGAGCAGCTGGCGGATTGCAACTTGAAGAGGTATACGGTGCAAAATGCTTTGAAGCAACTCCTTTTACACATATATCACAGGAGTGTTAATTATTTGAAAGCATCGGTTTGAGTAAGTATACGACAGCGCCAGTGTTCTGAGTTAGTATTCATTCAACATATTCCTTACATACTGAAGTTATCCTATCACAGACACATCGAGCTACCCCTCCCTTCTTTTCCCTCTCCTTCCTTTCTTCACCCCACCTCACCCCCATCCCCACATGCAGTACCTGGAATCTCACCCTGAACTTGCACGCTGGGTGTGCACTGTACCACTGAGCTATCCCCCCAGTGTAGATCATCCCTTTGGAGGACATGCTATTTGCTTTCTTGGTACTAAGGTGGGAACCTAAAGAGCACACTAGTGACCATTTGGCTTCCTGTTTTGGGTATAAACTAATGATGAGACTGATTTTACCAATGATGATCTAGGAACACATGCTGTCCTTAGATGCTAGACTTTCAACTGGGGGTGATAAAAAAAAAAATCAGGTTTTCTGAGACCTGGATTCTACTAATAAAAACATATAGTAGTTAAAAACAGGAAGCCCACCAACAACTGCAGCTACTACCATGAATTTGGTCTTGTTTTCTACTAAGAAACCCCTTTAACATGTATGTAGAAGACAGGTAAGGGACATGAAACAAACCCCAGGCGACTACTCCTGGGAACAAATCCTGGAGGGCACTCCTGGGGCCAACTCCAGGGATCCTCTCTTGGAGCCTACTCTTAGGAAACACTACTGTGGTCTACTGAAGACCACTCCTGGAGTCTACTCTTAAAGACTACTCCTGGAGCCTACTCTTGAGGTTTATTCCTGGGGCCAACTCCTGAGGTTTATTCTTGGGAACTTACCTTCGGGAACCACTCCTGGGGTCTAGTCCTAGAGACCACTCCTGGCACCTAACTCTGGGGTCCACTCCAAGGATCTACTCTTGGGGAATATTCCTGTGGCCTATCGAAGGCTACTCTTGGAGTCTACTTGAGGAGACTCTTCCTGGGGTCATTCCTAGGGACTACTCCCTGTGCCCACTCCTGGCATCCACTCCTCAGGACCACTCTTGAGGTCTACTCCGTGTGCCCACTCCTGGCATCCACTCCTCAGGACCACTCTTGAGGTCTACTCCCTGTGCCTACTCCTGGCATCCACTCCTCAGGACCACTCTTGAGGTCTACTCCATGTGCTACTCCTGGCATCCACTCCTCAGGACCACTCTTGAGGTCTGCTCCCTGTGCCTACTCCTGGCATCCACTCCTCAGGACCACTCTTGAGGTCTGCTCCCCGTGCTGGCAGAGCTGCTTCACTAAATCTGGCTGCTAGATCTTCTTTGGGGACCTCCTCTTTGCTGGGAGCATTAAAGCATGATTCGCTATTCTTATCTGCTGAACTACTACGATATTAAAGTATTAGAAGTTTTTAAAAGAAATGGTAACACTTGTGCATGGTCTGTTTTCATTTTGGAAAAGAACACGATAAACACACAAAATATTCCCAAGGAATGAAATCAGTGGAATTTAATAAAAGTATGCATAAGAATGGCAAATATCTTCTAGATATTGCAACTAAAGGTCAGCCACTGTCTATTCCATTCTAAATAAAAAAATGGAAAATTTCACAGAATCAAATTCTTAGAGAAAGTTAGAAGTGGCCTAATTCAGCCATTTTATACACAAGTGAGGCTATGCATATTGTCTATAAAAGGAAAACCAGCACAAGGCTAGCCATAACACCTAAGCGTTCCTTCTTTACCCAATGTTTCTCACAAAAAGGTTGAGCTACACTATTGCTGATAATAAAATCAAAACTTTTTATTGCCACCTCAGGATTCTGAATTTAATGTCTGGCAAAACCTCTGAGAAGTACAAAAGGCGATGTATGGTGTTCAACTCTAATAGCTCTTTCTTGAATATCCTATTGAATTATCTTGACTGTGGTGGGGGGTAGGCATACAGACTGACCAATCTTTTCACTCACTGTGGCTAGGTCTAACTAGACAATGACAAAAGTCTGCTGATATGCAGAGAAAAGGATCTAACATGCTGAAAATGGATAAACCATCAATAGCTACAATTCCAAGACAGGAAAGGAAATAGAAATATAGGCAAAGTGGAGGAAACAAGATGGACTTGTAAGTCACATGACATATTAGCAACTCCATATATGCTACAGGCTGTGTCTGTGCCATGGTGGAAACAATGAACTACATAGCCATTTATATAGTCACTACATTTTGAGCTACAGAATACAGATCAAACCCACATACTGTGAAAAATATGCTCACTAACTGAGAACATGCACCCCAGCCTCTGGTCTTACAGTGCCCGAGGCCTTATCCTTAACCATCCCTTCATAATATGTATCATCTCAGTAACCCATACGCTTTAATGCAGCATGCACATGCACTGTGGAACCTTCCAATATTTATTTTTCTATCGTTCCCCCTGTAAGATATACAGTGAAATTTGTACAAGTTAACTGAAGACCTGATCTGGTTCCATTATACCTTTACTAGATGAGAAGAGGATGCTGGGAGCTCACCAGTATAGCCTCAAATGACAGCAGCCTGATCAAACAAATTTTCATGTTTCAATTCATGATTAACCATGATCATGTCTCATGATCAGGCCCCCCATAATAATAAATAAAAATAGTCAAACAACAAAGTTAAGACTTTTTAAAACATGTTTTTTAGTATTTAGTAGTTTGGGTGAAGTTCTTAGGAACAAGCATGGTACGTAGACCAAGGAAAGACAAGACTGTCCCCATGTACCCTGTGGTCACAGTCTGAATCTTGATAACCCCAAACACTGGTTGGAACCTTTCTGTAAAGACTCCAATCACCACTTTGGCACATCTGTTCAGAGGAGACACAATCTATTCTTACCTGTAAAGCTACTGTTCATTTCAGGAACATCATCCTCCTCCTCATTCTCCGTGTGGACTATGCCAGCATTTTGCATATCATTGTAGGACTTTGTTCGCTTAGGGGTCGACTGCTTGGAGCCGGACTGAAGGCTGTGCAAGGCATCCGTCGTGGTCACTTTCCCACTGACTGGCTGGCTGGGAGGTTTGGGTGTCCCATAATAGTTTCCTAGGTGATGGAGAGACACATTTGCATGTTTCAAAATGAAGACTTTTTTTTTTCAGCCCCAAGAATTCACATCCAAATCTCTTAGAGTATTAAAAAATGAAGCTGGAAAGCTGGAACATGCTGGATTTCATTTCTAGAATGAGTTATCAAAGGCGTCTTTTCTATCTAGCTAGTTACGGGGTTACAGAAGGGAAAAGGAAAGCCACAGGGTTTTGATGCAAAGGAGCTAGGATAAAACCAGAAGTGGCTGTGCTGAATAGAGGCGTTTCCTTGTCATTACATTTGAATTTCAATGGGTCATCTTTTGATATAGGCAACCACACAAGGCTGAATCCCATTAAGAATTGAGTCCCATAGAAGACAAAACTCATGACTGCCAAGATCCTCCCAGGCCTCAAAGGTCGAGGTCTCTCTCTCTCTCTTCAAGAGGCAACCGGGGCGCTTCGGTAAAAGGAGGGCAGCGAGCACCACGTGGCACCTCTTAAACTGAATGGCAGGGTTGACTATAGGGGTTGTGCCAGGTGGGAACAAATCCTCGCCAAGTTTCAAGAGAAAACTGTTCACTGATGCCCCCTGGGGGAAATCACCCTTTATGTAATGGTCTTCTTTGCTTCTAGCCATCTTCAATTCCTCCATGTTTGGGAGGCCCCCCCCCCCTCTGCTAGGCAATTATGAATGATACATGAAGTAGATACTTTTTTTTTTTTTTTTTTTGAGACAGGGTTTCTCTGTGTAACAGTCCTGGCTCTCACTCTGTAGACCAGGTTGGCCTCAAATGCACAGAGATCTGCCTGCCTCTCCCTCCTGAGTGCTGGGATTAAAGGCGTGCAACACTACTGCCCAGCAAAGTGGATATTTTAATATTTAGAAATGTGTACTTTATTTTCATTTGTATGTTTGCTCATATGTGTGTATATTCATATGTGTGGAGTGTGCTTTTATACTTGTGTGCATGTACCATGTACAAACCAGAATGGTCAACCTTACATGCCATTCCTCAGATGCCATGCACCTTCATTTTTGAGACAGGGTCACTCCTTGGCTTGAAGTTTGCTGATTCAGCTAGACCAGCTGACCAGTGAGGCCCTCTCCACCTGTCTCCTCCTCCCCAGCACTGAGATTACAAGCACACCCTATTACACCCTACTCTTTTATGTGGGTTCTGAGGTTAAACTCAGGTCTTTATAATTACATGACAGACACTTTAACTATGTACCTAGTCCCAGATACGTATATTTTAAATTTGGTATAATTACTAAATACTAACTAGTAAATTCAATTAACTTTCAAAATGAAAAACAATGCTTAAAAAAAGGTTTATTTTAACCACATACCTTAATTTTCATAAGAGAAAGTTAATCAAGTGCTCTCTTTGACAACACTTATAGTAACACTGCAATAATATGGAGAAGATACGCACGGCCCCTGTGCAAGGATGACATAAAGCCAAAGTTTACTTAAGCAATATTAAGGTGGCTCAATGTCATTACCAGATGACATGCCAATGTGGATGGGAGATTTCACAAATCCCCACCTCTACATAAAGAGCCACAGTCAAGCAATGGTTGCTGGAAGAGGGAGAATCGGTTTTCTCCAACCCCAAGTGGTCAGCCCTAAATATGTATGCATATGAGCAACACTAAATGGACTCAGTAGTTTGTGTGTGTGTATATATGTAACAATAACAACTGAAGAAGTCATGAGTTTGAGAGAGAATGGCAGTCATGAAGGAATTTAAGGGAGTTTGGGGGGTATAAACGGCATAAGTACAGTACTCATGCATGAAATCCCCAGAAACTTAAAAAATTAAAAATTTAAATAAAGTGGGTAATGGTGGCACACGCCTTTAATCCCAGTACTCGGGAGGCAGAGGCAGGAGGAGCTCTGTGAGTTCAAGGCCAGGCTGATCTACAAATTGAGTTCCAGGACAGCCAGAGCTGTTACAACAGAGAAACCCTGTCTCAAAGATCAACAAAACAAAACAAATTTAAATTAAAAAAGAAATCAATGAGTGGAAGAAATAATGATAGTAGTGATAATTTCCTTCTGCAAATTTATGTTTAAAAGCAAGTGATTTTGATATTGTCTTAAATGAAACTTTAAGACGCTTGTCCCAATACAAAAAAAAAAAAAAAAAAAAAATTCTTGAGTACTTTCCGACTAATCTAGATTTGGAAAGCATGTGATATTCAGTAGGGAAGGTGCACTGACAAAGAATGTGCTTCCACTAGGCTTTAACTCTAACTCCTCTTCTGTTTTCTTTTATTGGGACACCTGCTTTCTTGTAGTGCGGTTTTATGGGCTGGGGAGTGGAGGATAGAGGTATGGTCTGGTTTCCGGTAGCCCAGGCTAGGCTGGTCTACTGCCTCTGCTTCCTGGGGCATGAACTGCCACTCTTTATACTCGCTGGGATGCCACTCAGAGCTCCAAGCACGCTAGCCAACCTCTCTAGCAACTAAGCTATTTCTCCAGCCCTGCAGTTAAATGTTTTTAAGAAAGGAAGGCTTAATATTAATGCAATATTTTTAAAGAAGAAACTCTTTAGAATTCTTTTCAATTTTGGGGGGTATGTGTGTATGTGTGTATGTGTATGTCTACATGTATGTGCTGTGCTTGTTTGTGTGGGTGCCCGTGGAAGCCAGAAGAGAGCATGCGAGACCCAGGACCTGGAGTTATTAGAGATGGCTGTGATCTGCCCAATGTGGGTTCTGGGAACCAACTTCTGATCATGTGGGAGAGCAGCAAGTGCTCTCAATAACCCAGTCACCCCTCCAACCCTAACATTTGTTTCTTCAAGTTGTATTTTGAATCAATAATTTTATTAGCACACATAAAACTATTTTCTTTTGAGATGGATATAGTAATTCATGCCACCAGTGAACTCTGGACATACAAGCTAATAAACACAGGAGGGAAAAATGGGATCACTGCTCAGCAGCTGAGAGCACTTGATACACCTACAGAGGACTTGGGCTCAGTTCCCACCACCCAAAGGGTGGCTCACAACCATCTGGACCTTCAGTTCCAGAGCATGTGGCATCCCCTTCTGACCTCTGTGAGCATAGGCATGCATGTGGTACACATAGGTACAGGTGGGCAAAACAATCCTACACACAAATATAATAAATAAACCTTAATAAAAAAAAAACCATGGGGGCAAAGGAAACCATGTTTAAACTTTGAAGACCCCAATTGGCAGTCTCTGGTAAGCTCTCGCTGGAGGCTTTGGTTAAGACTTAAGCTCTCACACAGTAAGTGATCTATCAGTCTCCTACGAAGAAAAATCTTTCAGATTCTCAATTTACAGGCCAAGAAGTTGGGAGGAAGAAGCTGGAAAGAAGACAACCTATAATGGTGTGAGAGGCTAACTAACCCTCACCCAAGGAAGAGCTAGCAATTATGTAACAAAGAAACACACTTCATCTTTCATACGTACAAGGTCATGGAAAGACTATTCTATGCTTTCTTTAAAGGTATGCCTAGGCTAAGTACAACAGTGTTTGTGAGGTTTAGGAAAGTACGACTGTTGACTTAAAATTAAATCTCCATAGAGAATTGAACAAACAAACAGACATAAAGTGCTACTGAATTTAATTTAATCCCTCCCCATTACTAATATACCAAAAGAGCACACTCATTTTACAACTAGATGTTGAATGAAGGCTGATATCTACAAGTTAGAACCTACTGTAAAAAGGGAGGTAAAGGATGGGACCCTGCACTCTTAATTTCCTAATTATTGTTGCTCACAAAATTGCCATTTTAAAACTAATTTACTCTTTGATATCCACAGTTTATGACAGAAATAAATGGCCAGGAAACAAAGTTTCATGTAATTTGACAAACACATGTAGATTTTCCAACAAACACCTGTCCTCAGTTTTCAAGTTAAAAAAGCCTAGCAGATTTGTTGATACACCCCCACAAGTTGTTTCCCATGTCTACAAAGCAGTCTCGGAGACAGATGACTCGCATATTATCAGGTGAACCATATAAAATTAAAACTTGGCGAACATCAACAACGTAGTGTGCCTTATAATAATGAATAAATGTGCATGAGCAATGCTGAGCAGCCTTGGCACTGCATGTCAATAAAGCTTGTAAGAGAGAGCCCACAGTTCCAACTCACCATGACAATTTCCAAAAATCCTCAGAGTCTGTAAGTTGGCCTTTGAATGAATTCAAATTTGGATGCATCTATCTGGATCCTGGACTTTTAGTCAACAAGAGTATAACACTGTAGACCGACTTTCCCATGTAACCGCAGGCAGGTGGGTCATGTATAGAGAGAGTTTCACAGTTACTCTAGGACTCTATTGCCTGTATCTAGTGTCTTGGAGTTTGAGATCCAAACTGTGCCTTCCAAAAAAACTCCACCTTATCAAGAATTCCCAGTGTGATCATTAAGTAGGCCAGGTCCAGCCAAGGTAGAAGCACAAACCTAACAGAGAATGTGCAGCATGTACATAAGACTCTGTGTGAAGGACATAAATAATCCGAGGCACTGCAAATGATTCAAAAATTAATTAAGCTTATTGCTTGGCAGGCTGCATCATTTCTGTGAGCCCTGAACCTGGCTGTCCCACAGTCTCCATGTTACCCAGCAGACACTTCCTGAGGTGCCCGGGCTTCAGCCCAAGTGGGAATGTGTTCCTCTTCCTCCGCTATTTTCAGAGCAGGTTCTACAATAAAACTCAACAGGGGTGGTGGGTAGGGAGGGAAGGGAAGGCAGGGGAAGAGGAAGGAAAGGCTGGCCTTAATTAACAGGCACAATCTATGGCCATGACCAAAGCCAAAGAAAATCCTTTCTAACTCACACTTATAAATTAATGAAGTCTGCAAATCAATTTTTAAGAGCTTTATAAAACATTTAAGGAAGACTGTACTATCCCTGGATTTTCAGCAAGAATGAATCAAATCCGCAGCTTCTCAGCTTACACAGTTATAATTTCATTTACATCCTAGGAGAGAACCTTTATTCTAAGTACTAAGTGTCGTAC